TATATACACTCATTCATTTAATCCCCACCACAGCCCCAGGAGGGCAAATGTCACCCAGCGGAACAACATGCATTATTTAACTTGCTTCTTGCTCTCTTTCTCCATCTTTGGCTGGGTGCATGCATGGAGTTGAATTTGCATAAGCTGAAGGTTGTGTGCTTCCGCTGTGCGGCTGTTCTGAAAGGCCAGTCCATATGCCGGAAGGCAGGGAGATGAGGCTGGAGAGGGCTCAAGGCCAAAGCCAGAATTTGCCTCCACTGCCCCAGACACGAGGCCTGAACCTTATGAGGGGGGAGATGCACCTCCCCCCGACACCATGCAGGCCAATAACACTGAGCCAGCTGAGCATCTGTCAGAGAATGCCCATGCTGGATGGAGGGGACCAGACACAGGTGGGTGGGAATGGGGGATTGATGTGATAAAGAGACCCCCACACAGTTTTTTGTAGATGGTGGCCTCTTTAGGGCTTCTGTGCCCATCATCAAGGGGGATCCAAGAAAAGGAAAAGCTTTCTAAATCTAGCTATAGAAAGAAGACATGGTCTTGCACACAGTAGGTGCTCAGTAAATGTGTATTGGACAAATGCAAACAAGAAAGTTCTGTCTGGTAAGTGGATATCATGTGGGAGTTAGAAAACAAGCAGGGGTTTTGGAGCCAGCAGGCATCTCATCTCTCCCACTTCTCTGAGCCTCGATTTCCTCATCTGTCTAATGGGGATAATAATATCCACCCACTTAGAGGGTTGTTGGGAGGTTAAAGATAATGCAAGTAAAGTTCTTCAGACATGATGGCCAGTCTGTAAGCAGAGTCTGTACTGAATGAGGGAGCCGGGCAAGAAGGGCCTCGGGCTGGGAGGCCCGTAAGGAGGCTCTGGGCTGGGCACGGTCAGAAAAGACTCTAGAAGAGGGGGCTTGGACTCCCCTTAAATGAAGGCAGGGGTCAGGTGGGAGGAGGGAGGGCAATCCCTCTTGCTTGGGTCTGGGACCTACTCTTTGTGAGCAGTGGGAACTGAGCTGAGAGGAGCCAGATCCAGGAGGCTGTGTACTAAGGAGGCATGGGAAGGTGACTGGAGTGGGCGGAGAGGAAGGAAGGAAGGCTCTAGTCTAAGGCTCAAGGAGTTCATTGGTCATTCAGCAGACACACTGAGCACTGTGCACCCGTGTGCATGGCACGGTGCTGTTGAAGACCTACTTTGTGGGTTACAGGTACCTGAGCTCAAGGTTTCAGGAGAATGGTACAAAGGGCCCGAGGGCAGGGTTCACTGAAGCTGATCCTTGGACTGGTGCTGGGCAGCCCCCCCCCGGGGAGTTTGCTTGAACCCAGATTCCAGGAGGAGGGGATACCATATACATTTTTAAAATATTTAAAAAGTGAAATTTGAATTACAGTGGTGAGGCTACTGCATGTTTGGGCTTCTAGAGAAAGTTCCATGCTTCTCAGTTGTCTTTCTCGGTTCCTTTTAAAGCCCAGAGGCTGAGGTGTGACTGTGTGTTTTCACTCGGGTGTGGTCAGAGAACAAAGCAGTGCTATTATCCCTGAGTCTCTCTGGAGACATTCCCCGGTGGAGAATGGTCAGGGTCACCAGAGTACCACCATTTTGATTTATCACTTACATTTGTACTTAAAGAGCATTCTACATAAACCGGGTACGTTTTCCCAGATATAATGGTATGTGGATAATTTTTTAAATGGGCGAGTTGAATTTCTGGGGGTCGATGAAACATTCTGAGTGAGGATGGGAAGGTTCCAATATGTTGGGGGAAAGGTCTGTTCAGCTGCAGCCTGAGTCCCACTTGGGGAATGATGGAGATCCCCAAGGAGATGACCCTGGAGGAGCAGGTAAGGGCAGAACTGAAGGCCAGGATTGGAGTGACCTAAGCGGTGAGAGTGGATGGACATGAGGCTAAAGAGCTGAACTTTGCGGGCTGCCTCAGAGGGAGACTGGTAGGATGTGGTTTCTCAGTGGGGCCTCTGGATGCAGTGGTCAGCATTGGAGGGCTGCCCACAAGGACCAGGAACCTGGGACCCCCGAGAATAGGCTCTTTCCACAAAGAGCATCTCCAGGCATTCTGTGCTTGGCCCAGGAGGGCAGAAAAGCAGAACCCTAGACTCTAACATTGGAAATCGCCTTTGTCTTCCATTCCCACTCTCCACCCAGTGCCTGAATGCTGTCTACCAGGAACAGTGCCTCACTTCTTACATTTAATGATGCAGCAGGAGGCATTTCTGCAAGGAGGGGTGGGAGACAGCTTCAGTCTTAGGGCCTCAGTGAATAAGAGATTTCCCTCTCCTCTACTTTGTCTTATGTCACCACCCATGGCAGGAATTGAGCTAGAAGCCCTTTGGTTGGGCTCTCCTCACTGCAATCAGGGCAGATAGGACTTTTATGCTCCTTAGAGAACAGAGCATCTGCGGTTCCAAGAGTCCTCCAAAAGATGCTGTGTTTTCTTTCTTGTTATGAACCAAACCCAAAGGGTTTTTTTAATAGTACAGAGGAGAGTGGTGGGGATTAGAGATAAGGGAGATCCTCTTGAGAGCAAAGCATTTGAAATTTTGGCCTAAACAGGCCCTGGAATTTTTTCCTCTGGAAGGCCTGACTCACCCACGCAGTGGTGCCAGCAGGAAGAGCATAGGCTTTGGAATCAGATAGACCAAGGTTCAAATCTTAGCTCTGTCTCTTATTAGCTGTGGGGCCTTGAGTGAGATGGCTTAACCTCTCTGGTCTTCAGTTTCCTCATCTGCGAAATGGTGTGAGAACATCGGCCGTGCAGGGCTGGTGAGATAGACAAATGGAATAAAGCCCAGAAAAGCTCCTGGTGCCATCCCATGATGCAAATATTATTTCCCTTCCCCTTCTGTTCCAATGATTCCCCTTCTCCCATCTGATTGTGGATGTACCAGGAGGCAGGGGGATGGACAAATCCATTTGATGCTTATTTATTGACCACTTACTATGCGTTAGTCACAAGAGATTTGGAACAAACAGACCTCATCTTTCCCTCATGGGGTTTTCTGTCTGACGAAGGAAACAGACCAATTCACAAAAAAGCAAGCCTTTAATTACAAATTGTGACTGTTACAGTGAAGGAATTGAAGCATCTCTGGGGTGTGGGAGTGCGTTCCGTTTAGGTAGGTGAGCAGGGAGACCTCCCTGGGGAGGAGGCCAGCCATGCAGGGAAGAGGGGAAGCAGTCCAGGCAGAGAAAGCAGCACATGCGATGGCCCTGAGGCTACAGCGAGTGTGGCCCGTGGGAAGCACTGAAAGGAGGCCCATGCAACCAGTCAGGAGCTGAAGTTGGGCTTTGATAAGTTAAGGTAAAGAATTTGGATCTGAATTTTGTTTTGAGTACAATGAGAAGCTATTAAGTACTCAAGTGATATGATCCAATTTATTTAAATATTTCTGGCCCCTGATCCTAGGGAAATTCAGAATTTTTCTCTGCTCAGACTCCTCTTCCACAGCCGCATGTGGGCAGCCCAGGCCTATCTTGACGCTGTTCCCCACCCCTCTCTTGCAGGCCCAGGCAGAGCAGGGAGAGAGAGTCCAGGCCAGGCCCTCATAGAGATGAGCATTTGGAGGTACCCACTTCTGTGGTGTGTGTAAAAGCCCGGGCTACCACCTAAGGTTCAGTACCACCCACTGTAGCTGATGCTTCTGTCCCCCATCTTCTGGCTAGCTGGGAGCCCCTGGCCTGGAGGAGAGGGGCAGTGAAGTAGGAGAAAGCAGCAGTACCCTTCTTGGAGCAGGTGGGATATAAACTTCTGTAGCTGCTGAAGCCCAACTGTGAGTCAGTGAGTGCAGGGCAAGCCTCCTAGGTTATTCTCATCTTTAATGAAATGCTCAGCCTAATTCTAGAGGGACGGGGGTACAGCTAGGTGGAGACAAGAAATCTGTATTCTGTACCCCTCCTGTTCAGCCCAGAAATCCCAAGGGCTGGGCCCAGTACGTCCTCTCTGTGTTGGGACAGACAGATTTCCCCCAACCTTCCAGAGTCCTTAAGATGCCCATAGAAAAAGGCAAAGGTGCCCTGGCCCTCCTCTGAGGACCAATCAGGTGGGAGCTTCCAGCTTCCAGCAGCAGCTTCTCCCTCTGTGGGCTGAGGCCCTGGACCATGCTGTTGGGCCTGGAGGCTGGAGGAGGGAGGGACCCAAGGACCCCTCGAGCCTCCACCCTGCCCTCTTACTCAGTCCTGGGCTGAAGAGAGAGCTAAGGATATAGTGCACAGAGATTCACACTGAGCTGTCCCAGGGAGTGGAATCTGGGGCTCCTGGCCCACCAGCTCCCCTGGGACTGAGGTGCTAATGAAACAGCTCTTGACCCTGACCTTGGACTCCCAGCCATTGACGTCAGTGAAGTTGAAATAATGTAACCCGATTCTCCCCTTGGGGTGGCGGGGGAGGCATACAGGGGCATGGGAAGGGGAAGGACTGACCAGAAGTCAGGGCCGACCCAGCTTAGGCCGGGACTGGACAAGGAAGAATCCAGTGGTAGGGCGCTCCCGGCCGGTGGGATGTGCTCTATGAGCGAGTGGCCTAAATCCTTTCTGAAAGCAGTTATCTGGCACTACAGCCACCATCAGGTAAGACAGTGGGCTTCTTCCAGAGCGGGGAGCTGACATTGGTGTTGCCACACTGGACACAGGTGACATAACCATGGAGGTGATCGGCAGCATGGCTGCCATGGGGGTGCATTGCTGTCACATGGGGGTTCACATGTATGGTATTCGTGTGCATCCCTGTGTGCACACGCATCACTCCACCTGGGGACGAGGCTCAGCCTGACCACATCGGATGCTTAGAGGTACTCCTGGGGCCACATCGGGATGGTCTGCACAGTCTGATGTGTTGGAGTCAGGGGGCCACCCTGGCTCTGGCTTCCTTCCTCTTCTCACAACCCTGAGGAGATGTGGAGGAGGTCCCCCAGCAGGGACCTCCCTTTCCCTGGGATCTGCTATTGGGGTGCTGGGCCTGGAGTTGTAATTCTGCCTTTGGGTTTTCCAGGTGGATTTTCTGATTGAAAATGATGCAGAAAAGGACTATCTCTACGATGTGTTGCGGATGTACCACCAGTAAGTGTACTGGGTCCAGCTCCTGTGGGCCACCCCAGGTACCTCTGTCTTCAGGGAAACCTGGGATGGATTGTTCTGAGACAGGAGGACCTCCCCCTCTTATCCTGGGGGGCTCAGGGAGGCTGATGCTCGGTGTTCCTAGGAATCAAATAGACACGCTACTCACTTGTCTCAGCAAATATTTACACAAATACATTGTGTATGGCTCTATGCTAGCGGATAGGGGTACACGTATAAGCAAGACAGACTGGTTGCTGCCATCTAGTTGCTTACAGTCTGATGGGGGAGGCTGTCAGGTAGCCAGATAGGTTCAACAGAGTGTGATTGCTAGGATAGGACAGGAAATGCCAGCTGGTCCCAGTGCCAGCATCAGATGTCTGTTATCGCTCACCCGCTTTTTGATTCATTCAGCAACATTTATAAGCTCCTGTCACTGGCCGGGCACCATGCAGAATGTGGAAATGAATATCTACTTCCTTTCCTCAACTAACTTGTGGCTTAGTTGGGGGAGATGGACAGACACTAGCAACACAAGGAACTGTAATACAAGTTCCAGTGAAATAACTGCTGAGTAGAGGTAAAAGCAGGAATGTAAAGAAAGGAGTTCTCAGTTCTAACTGTGGAGGGAGGATCAAGAAGGCTTGAGCCAGGTTTTTGAAGGGTAAGAAGGATTTTGCTGGGTGGAAATATCAGGGAAGGACATTCCAGGATGAGAGATCAACATTAGCAACGGTTTAGAGATGTGAAAGCACAGGTTGTGACAGAGACCATAACAGCCACCAGCCTGGGCAGTTCCACAGAAACAGGTCATGGAGGCCCTGAGCCTACCAAGAAGGATGGACTGTGTCCTCTGGGCAGTGGGGAGCCATCGAAGGGTTTTGAGAAGAGGAGCAATTTACATTTTAAAAAGAGATGGGCTGAGAGTGAGCCAGTCAGCTGGCAGCTGGAGAGGTGCTGGCCCCAGACATTGAGGGTCTGAACGGTCAGAGGTGGAGGCTTGTGAGAGATAGTATAAGGCTGCAGCTCAGAGCAGGAAACAAGGGGATGAGAGGGCTCACTGCGATCTCACAGAGGTTTCCTGTCTGGAAGGATGCTGGGCTTCAGAAGTAGGCAGAGCTGACTTTGAATCCTGGCTTGATTTCATCCGCAGGATGAGTTAACAACCCCTACTTCGATGGTTTCCTTGAGATACTTACATGGGAGAATGGACTCTTCTGAGGCACCCGACCCATCGTTAGGGGCTCTGGGCATTTCAGGAGAGTCCTCCTCAATTCCAAGGCCTGGGCCCAGTGGGTGGGGACCCAGCCCAGGACTGCTTCCTCTGGGAATCCTGGGGTCTCAGAGGTCATGGCTAAGGGGGAGGCTTCAGGGTCCCTGTGTCTCTGCAGAACCATGGACGTGGTCGTGCTTGTGGGAGACCTGAAGCTGGTCATCAACGAGCCCAGCCGCCTGCCCCTGTTTGACGCCATCAGGCCTCTGATCCCACTGAAGCACCAGGTGGAGTACGACCAACTAACCCCCCGGCGCTCCAGGTGCGGAGAGAGCCACAGGCTGGAGGTGGGGTGGGGGGAGAGGTCACCCTGGGATGGACAGGATTGCTCACAAGTGGATGGGGCAGCACTGGCCATCAGGCCAGAGATGGGCCGTCACCGGCCCCTCCTCCCTTGGCAGGAAGCTGAAGGAGGTGCGTCTGGACCGGCTGCACCCCGAAGGCCTTGGCCTTAGCGTGCGTGGTGGCCTCGAGTTTGGCTGTGGGCTCTTCATCTCCCACCTCATCAAAGGTGGCCAGGCAGACAGCGTCGGGCTCCAGGTGAGTGAGCAGAGCTCGGGGAATGTGGGGACCAAGCCCTCAGGCTTCCTGCCTCCCCCTCATTCACTCACTAGGCTGTGTGGTGTAACATGGTCACCTCGCCCTTCTGAGCCTTTGGGAGAGGAAAAGGGTGACGTATCCTGACAGATTGTCCTCGGGCCTATAGAAGTGTGGCTGCAGGCACTTGCCTGTTTTCTTTTTTCTTCTTTCAATTTTAATTGGAGTATAGTTGATTTACACTGTTGTCTTAGTTTCAGGTGTACAGCAAAGTGAATCAGTTACACATATACATACATCCACTCCTTTTTGGATTCTTTTCCCATATAGGCCATTATAGAGTATTGGGTAGAGTTCCCTGTGCTGTACAGTATGTCCTTATCTATTTTGTATATAGTAGTGTGTTGCCTGTTTTCTTGAGGGGAGCTGAGAACCTGGCTCCCAGCTGTCGCTGCCCCTGCTGCACTGCACCCCACCTCCCTTATGTCTGAAGGAAGAGCATAATTATGTCCTGACACCTGAAGTTCTGGACACATAGCCTTCTCCCTGGAAGGGAAAAGGAAATACTGGCATCGTGCAGTGCTTCAGAGCATAGACTCTGGAGCTGGAATGTCCTGGCTTTGCTATTCATTAGCTGTGTGACTTTGGTGAAATTACTTAACCCCCTGCCTCAGTTTCCTCATCTGTAAAATGGGATGATGATACTACTACTTACCTCATCAGGTTGTTAGGCCGGAATAAATGAATTCATATTACAAAGTACTTGTATCAGTATCTGGCTCATAAATGCTGTGTGTTAGTTTGCAGAAAACAACATGCATTTTATGCTCCCAGAATATATATGATTTGTTTGTGTTTGCTTAAGGAAACACACACACACACACGCACACAATGAAAAGCAGTTACTTGTTGGAGGGGGAACTGGAGTGGATGGGGGATAAGGTGAGATGGAGTCTTTTAAGGCTACGTCTTTTAATATTATTTGGCTTTTGAATCATATGAATGTACTATTTTTTTCTAAATTCTTTTTATTGAAGTATAGTTGATTTACAATGTGTTAATTACTGCTGTACAGCAAAGTGACTCAGTTATAAACATATATACATTCTTTTTCATATTCTTTTCCAGTATGGTTTATCACTGGATATTGAATATAGTTCCCTGTGCTGTACAATAGGACCTTGTTGTTTATCCATTCTATATATACCAGTTTATGCTGTGTGTTTGTTAAGCAAGCAGAGAGGGAGATTTAATAAACACCTATAATGTGCCAGGTAACATGTTGACAGCCAGTTCTCATTGTATGCCTGGGCTTTCTCATCCCCATTTTACAGAGTTGATAGAAGATCAGGGACTTGACTAGAGTCACACAGCCAGTAAGTGGCAAAGCCAGGATTTAAACCTGGGTCTCCTGACTGCCAAGTCCAGGGATCTCTCTTCAGCACCCCAGGGGCCCCTCCCTTGGGGTCGCCACGCCTCAGTGTCTGGGCAGAGATGGGCAGACCTCCAGGTCTCGCTCCTGCCAGAGCCCAGAGCTGTGTTTTTATATGTCCAGACAGAAGAGGCCCTCCCACCCCCGCCCAGAGCTTCCAGCATGTTTGTTACCAGCATCCCAATCTGGGCTGCCAAGCCAGGGGCTTCAGGGGCCCTGACGGCTAATGGTACAAGACACCGTGGAGTGGGAGGTGGAAACTGGGAGCTGACAGACATCGCTTTGTTCTAAATCCCTGTCTCACGGCTCACTGGTAGCGTCTGAAATTTCAGCCCCTTCATTATTCCTCTCCTGTGCCACACATTTTCCAGCCCAGAAACACAGCCAGAGAAAAAAACATAATGAGCTCTTCTCTTGGCGTCAGCTGAGCCCTCTTTTTTTTCCAGGGTGAGGTCTCCTCCTAGGACAAGCATTTCTCAACGATTCCTCCATGATTGGGGGCATCAGGGCATTTTAATGAAACTTAGACTTTTACCTTCCTGCCTGTTTCTCAGGCTTATGAATTATCAACCCTTTCTCGGGTTAACGGGCTCATCTCTCCTTTGTGCCGCTGTCCCTCAGATCGTCATTTCACTGTTGCCCTTGCACAAAGGGCCTTTTGCAGGGCTCCACGCGGGAGCGAGAGGGAGAGGAAAGCCAATCCTGCAAGCTGAGCTGGGGGTTGTGTGGGAATCATTCCACTGGGGTCCCGGGCAGGTTCCCTTTTGGAACAACACAGGGAGCTTCACTCAGAGCAGCTTGGGGAAAACATCTGCATCCATTCACCTGTGTGGGTGGGGTTCATGTTTCTGGGGAGATCGCATGTCTGAGGGTGGGGGAGGGGCACGTTCAGATACAGCCTGGCTCAACTGAAGGTCCCGTTGATTTGACCTGTGAGACTGGGCCCCAAGTGGGGGGCTTGGATCCAGCCCTGGGACTCCTCCATCTCTGCACTTGTGCCCCTACTGGAGTTATTTTAGATTTTTGTCCAAGTGTATCCTGTCTGAACCTACATCCTCTGCCCTGCACAACTTGCTGTATAGTCCAAGGCTAGAGAATAATCTGTGTGCCTTGGTTGTCCCAGCTGTAAAATGGACAGAGTTATCCCTGCCTTTCCTATGGGACTTGAGGGCTCTGTCCGGTGGCAAGGATCCAGAGAGGACAGGACACAGGGAACTGCAGCCAAGCTTGGCCAGAGTCCCTTTTTTCTGCTTCCAGACACCCAAGAGACAACACTTGTCTGTCAGGGAGCCCTGATGTCAAATCTCAGCAACACTGTTCACTAGCTGGATGACCTTGAGCAAGTCACCTCACCTCTCTGAGCCTCAGTTTCCTCATCTGATTAACAGACACGCAGAGTTGTTGTGAAGAACTGCTGCAAGGAGGCCATCCAGCCATTCTCCTTCCATGAGAAGGCCCCAGAAACCTAGAGGGGTCCTTAGTGACCACCACCCCCCGCCCCTGTGGCACCTCTTTGAGCCCCTTGCCAGACCACTGAGAAGACGGGGGTCTGGGTCCAGGTGTGGAAGGGAAGTGTTCAGGTGACAATAGGGAGAAGGTGACTCTGGGGGTTGTTGTAAAGGGTAGGTGTTGGCCCGGAGGACCCCTCAGAGGCTATGTGCCCACCCAGCCCCCAGACCTCACTGAGAGTCAAGCTGCACTTACCCTACACTTACTAACAAGTCTCTAAAGGGTCAGCATGTGTGGTGTGAGGTAGGCCGCCAGCTGACCTGCCCTGGCCTCAGGCTGGAGAGGGTCGGGTTGTCCACGATCCAGTCCCTGCTCTGTAGCTAATGACTGTGACTGTGGACAAAACATCACCTCCTGGGCCTCAGTTTCAACTGATGTCTGAGGATCCTTCCAGCCCCGTAGTTATTAAATGGGGAGCTTCAGGACTGATCCCCAGGGCCAAGGTGCTCAGAGGACAAAGGCCAGGGAAGAGCTGCTTGAATCTTGTTGGAGGGTCGCCCTTCGCATGAATTCCAGAACCTGATGGTGCCCCAGTGGGTGGAAGGGACAGAGTGAGGGTACAGAATCCTGACTTCTCCTCCCAGCTCTGCTACCCGCTCTCTGTGCCCCTCGCCCCCATCTTGGTTCCCCCATCTGTAAAATGGGCAGAAGGACTCCTGGAGAGCAGGCCAGGAGTATCTGGCCATGAGCCTGCCCAGCTGCTCGATGCTTCCTCACCCTGGTGCGTCTTCTCTCTGCCTGTGGTTAAGGTAGGGGACGAGATCGTCCGGATCAATGGGTATTCCATCGCCTCCTGCACCCATGAGGAGGTCATCAACCTCATCCGCACCAAGAAGACTGTGTCCATCAAAGTGAGACGTGAGTGAGGCCAGAGCACGGGGGTGCTGACGGTGGGGCACCTGGTGGTACCCAGCTCCTAGGGGAGGAAGGGAGGGCAGAGGAGCCATCCTAACCCCCATACCTTTCTCCCACAGACATCGGCCTGATCCCTGTGAAGAGGTGAGCAGGACCCTCCTCTGCAGGCAGACTCCTCCCTATGGGCTCAGGGTCCTGGATCAGCCTGGGGTCTGGCCAGCACTGCCCCTGGGCCAGTGATGGTGCAGGCTTCAGATGGGGAAGATTTGGATTTGGGGCCTGTTGCCTCAAACTTCTCTCCCTAATGACCTGCCTTCTACTTTCCCCTGCCATCAGCTCTCCCGATGAGCCCCTCAAATGGCAGTATGTGGATCAGTTTGTGTCGGAATCTGGGGTAAGGGTCAGGACCGCCGGTGATGGGGGCTGGATGGGCTGGATGGGGTAGCTGGTCCTGAAGGAAGGCCTTCTCTAGGGATGTGTCCTCAGGGGCTTCATATAGGCCCCCAGCACATCCAGAATGCCCCTGTGGGTGGTGGCCCAGCTGGTATAGACACACACTCCCAGGGACAAAACGGCAGTCGGGCTCATGTGGGGACAGCATCGCTCGCCCCGAAGGCCTTATGAGCACAAGAAGCCCCTTGCACAATGCGGACACCCGGTGACCTTATCGTCTCCCTCCCTCAGGGTGGGCAGACCAGCCTGGGCTCCACCAGCAGTCAGGAAAACAAGGAGAAGAAGGTCTTCATCAGCCTGGTGGGCTCCCGGGGCCTTGGCTGCAGGTGGGTGGCAGGTACGCCCTGGGGCTCACTCATGGCCAGCAGACCCCAATAGGTCCCTCACACCATTCCCCTTCCTCACTGCTGCTTCTGAGGAGACTTTTGTCCACTAGCGATGACACTTCTTGGTGCTTGATTTCCCCTCTGAGCTTCACAACAGCCCTGTAGGGCCAGAGGGACAGCTCTAACAGGCCCATTTTACAGAGGAGGAAACTGAGGCCCAAAGGCAGAGCCATGTTCCTTTCGTGGGCCCTCAAGTCATGCAAAAGGAACCTGTCAAGCTGATCATGTCTGTCACAGTTCCCTTCTCACTTATTACCTTGTGGCTTCCTTAGGAGGCAGCCAGGGAGTTGCAAACAGGCATTGGGTCTCATGGGGCATTCTTGTTAAGCACACAGGTACTGCAGTTAGAGATCTAGGCCCTGCTGTGCCACCTATGAGCTCTAGAACCTTGGACAAGTTACTTAACCACCCTGACCCTCAGTTTCTTTTATTTATTTATTTGTTTGTTTGTTTTGGTTGCTTGTTTGTTTGTTTTGGTTGCATCAGGTGGGCTTCTTAGTTGCAGCTCGCCAGCTCCTTAGTTGCGGCACGTGGACTCCTTAGTTGTGGCATGCAAATTCTTAGTTGCGGCATGCATGTGGGATCTAGTTCCCTGACCAGGGATCAAATCCGGGCTCCCTGCATTGGGAGCACAGAGTCCTAACCACTGTGCCACCAGGGAAGTCCCCTCAGTTTCTTTCTCTATAAATCAGCAGTAATAGTCCCCATATCACAAGGCTGTTGTGAGGAAGAGTGAGATGACAGAATGAAGTACCAAGCTTAGTGCCTGGCAGGTAGTAAGCAGTTCGTAAATATTAGCTATTATTATTTGTCTTTTTTTTTTTTTTTGACCGCACCACGAGGCTTGTGCGATCCTAGTTCCCCGACCAGAGATTGAATCTGGGCCCTCGGCAGCGAAAGCGCAGAGTCCTAACCACTGGACCACCAGGGAATTCCCTAAGTTATTCTTCTTATTTCCATTCCATCACATTTCTGACAAGCATAAGTGATTAAAAAAAAAAAAAAAGTCCCTCCTTTCTAAGAAATTATAGCTTAATATAGAAGCCAACCACATAAACAGTTCCAGTATTGAGGGACTCTGTCACGGAGCTGCATTCTGGGTCAGGCGTGGCAAATAAGTTTTCCATCCTGTGCTCTCTCTAGTCAGTTAGTGGTGGCTGCCCTGGAGTACTATTTTGAAAAGAACTTTAATGCTGTATCTAGGCGTAGGTGGGAAAGAGTGTTGCGATTGATTGGTGATATCTGCCACAGATCTGGGAGGGGAGATTAACAAACAGTACAAGTGCCATCCTTGCTGTAGGTGTTTTAGGAGCACGGGGAAGGGAGCAACCAGCTTAGTCAGGGGATAGAATAAGGAGATTGGTTAAAACCTTGTAGAGGAGATAACATTTGAGTGTTGAGGAATGCATAGGAAAATGCTAGAAAGAGAGAAGAAACAGCATATGCAATAGGTTGGATGAGAGGTTGGGTAGGGGGAATTAGACGTAGCTTTCTGTTGGTAGTTGCCACAGGGAAATGAGGCTGAACAGGTAGATGACAGAGGGCTTGGGTACTGAGCTCATGCGTGACCTGGACACACAGGCATGGGGGCCGGTCATTGAAAATGAGCCAGCACTGAAGAGCAGAGGCTCACCTGATCTTCCGAATCTCCCACAGCATTTCCAGCGGCCCCATCCAGAAACCTGGCATCTTCATCAGCCACGTGAAGCCTGGCTCCCTGTCTGCTGAGGTGGGGCTGGAGGTGAGTGACCCTGGGCCTGCCCCAGTGGGGCCCCTGTGGGGTGCAGGGTCAGACTGTGATCGCACAGGGATGGAGCACGTGCTTTCCCACACAGCCCTCTCTCAACACTCACTGGCTGATGATTCCTACTAACCCCCAAAGGGAAGGCTTCACAGAGGGGGTGACATTTGAGCCTTTCTCCAGCCCTTCTCCAGCTCTGAGAGCCTTTGGTCCTGAGCTTGGGATGTAGTAATAATAATCAGAATTGACATTCATTGAGCGTTAACTGGATTGGACATTGTTCTAAGCCCTTTAAAATGTATGAGAACTCTGAAAATTAGGTACTATCGTTAGCCTCATTTTACAGATGAGGAAACTGAGAGCCAGAGAAAGATCTTTCCAAGATCATGTACATAGTATGGCAGGGCTGGGATTCAAACCTAGGTGGTCTGATTCCAGAGCTAGATAGAACTCTTAACCTCTTCTTTGGACAAGTTATTTCCTCTTTCTCTGCTTCAGTTTCCTATCCTGTAAAATGGGGGTACTAGCCTTCCTTCTGGGGTCATTGTGTAGATTAAATGTATTAATACATATGCTTAGAACTGTGTCTGGTACATACTGAGGGATCGATTAACGTTAGCTATTATACTAATTATTATTATGACTCCACACAGAATCTACTATATGAGAAGCTTAAAGGCTCCTAAGTCTACAAACTGAGTTTTTAAAGCAAATGTCGTAAATTCAGCCAAAGTAATGAACTTCTAAAGGTGTAATATTTGACAACTGATGAAAGAGATATGGGGTGGAGGAGCCCTGGGAGGACCCTATTGGAACTCTGCTCTTTCGGAAGAGTTGAGGTACAGCTACTTGAAGACCCAACGTCTGATGCTGGCCTCCAGGGGGAGCTCTTCTAACAGACTGAGTGTACAGATAATACAAACATGCTGATCACTCTCCATTTCTCCACCAGCCAGGGGACCAGATTGTCGAAGTCAATGGCATCGACTTCTCCAACCTGGACCACAAGGAGGTGAGATGTGGGTTTTTCACCTTCTGGCTGTGATCCTCTCTGCTGTCCTCTTCTCACCTACGTCCCCCTTGCCACAATGTCTGAAACCTTCTGTGCTCCCTAGAGGCCTCAACTACTCTGATCTGTCAGGTCTCAGCTGACTATGTGCCTGTCCCCACAGGCCGTGAACGTGCTGAAGAGTAGCCGCAGCCTAACCATCTCCGTCGTAGCTGGAGCTGTAAGTCCAGAACGAGCTGGTGGGGGCCCCGTGACCCCTGACCTGCAGCCCAGCTGCTCAGACCCCTGATCTCTGCCACACACTCGTGGGAAAGGCCAAGGGGTCTCCTTCCCTGAAGCTCTGATAGCAGCTGGGGAGGATTTCTGCCCAGCCAGAAGCTTGGGTCAGACAGAGCAGGAGCCACAATGCCTGACATGGGGGGCCATGGAGATGAGAAGGCAACCCAAATCTTGGCCCTCAAACTCTGGCAGTGGACTTCTAGGTTCCCAGGGGACTGAGCAAGGCGCCTCTTTTCTCCCCATGAGGGCCGGGAGCTGTTCATGACAGACCGGGAGCGGCTGGCAGAGTTCCGGCAGCGCGAGCTGCAGCGACAGGAGCTTCTGATGCAGAAGCGGCTGGCGATGGAATCCAACAAGATCCTCCGGGAGCAGCAGGAGATGGAGCGGCAGTGAGTGTGGCCAGCCAGGAGGCCCCTGCCCTGCCCTCCCAGACCACTGTACCATTCCACCCGCCTTTCTTCCTGCCCACTGCATCCTGAGCTGACTTTATTCTCTCCCTCGAGGCCTGTCTTCAGACCAGATGGGCTCAGTGATGCTCAGTGGAAGCATCCCCTGCCTCCAGACCACGAGGCTCCTCCCTCCTTGCCAAGGAAAGCCCTTGATTTCCAAGACCCAAGAATATGGAAAATGAGGATGCTACTAGCAATAACTAACATTTGTCAAGTACCAACCACATGGCTGGCGTTGTATTAGGGCCTTGTTTACGTTCCTCAACTGAATTCCCATAATAGCCCTGGGAGATAGATGGTATTAACCCATTTTATAGGTGAGGAGACTGAGACTCAGAGAGGTTACACCACTTGTGTACAAAGTCAGACATGGCTAAGCTGTGGAATTCATACCCAGGCAGTTTGGCTGCCCCATCTATGGTGATAAGAACTACCCCCCACCAACCCCAGAGTGGCTGGGATGATGACTGAGAGAATTCATAACTCAAAAACTATTGTCAAGATCCCAATCCAGATACATTCTATGAGCATAATAAGAATTTGGGAAAGGAAAGTGGACGGGATCTTTCCACCTCTCCCATCACAGAATTTGCCTGAAGAACTACCCTGGGTGGTACCTCTGCCCATTACTCTGGCCTTGCTTAGCAGCCCCGGCTTTGCCCCTGGGGTCTAGGGCCCTCCTCTGGGAGGACCTCACTCAGTCAGTCACTTTATGCTGGTGTTTAGAGGTGGCTGCATGGCATGTGGCCTGCACTGAACTGCCTCCAGTCTCCCGCAGTGCAGAATCTCTGCTCAGCAGTGCCAGACGAAACCACACAAGAGCACAGGATCCAGACTTTTCTGGACCCTCTTTCCCAGCATCCAAATTTGGTCCAGGCATCCTTGGAAAGGAGCCTGGAAGAAATATTTAAAACTTTTCTCAAATCAGAGATTAGCTGCAAGGAAGAGTTAACTTCTCTGACATAGATTCCAACATGCCAACTTGCATTTGTGTTTCAGAAGGAAAAAGGAAATTGCCCAGAAGGCAGCAGAGGAAAATGAGAGATACCGGAAGGAGATGGAACAGTGAGTGCCTTGGCCCCATGTGTCTGCACACACATGTCTGTGCGTGGACGTGAGTGTACTCGCAGGAGTGCGGCCCCAGAGGCCACCTCCAGGCCCAGTTTACCTGGCCCTCTTGTCCCCCTGGCGGACTGTCCTTTATTTGTAGTCATTCCATAATCCTAGTAAAACCCATCATATTAGGGTAACTGGAATACAGTCTTGTAACTGTCAGGGTGGCATTCACACCTGATTTAGAATACAAGTGCCAGGGACTCGTTTTCGTCACAGCTACAACCACGTGGCTTCTCCCCAGGCTGGTTGGCGTTCCCCAATAGGCAGAAGGCAGGCCTGCAAAGGTTCTGACTCCAGTCACAGGCGTCTTATTTCAGGATCGTGGAGGAGGAAGAGAATTTTAAGAAGCAGTGGGAAGAAGACTGGGGCTCAAAGGAACAGCTCCTGTCGTCTAAAACCATCACCACCGAGTTGCACCCAGTACCCCTTCGCAAGCCAAAGTGTATGTATCATGTGCCAGGGGAGAGGGGGCTTCCTTCTGGGGCCTGGGGATGTCTAGACAAAGATAGAGGTCTCCCGCCACTCACCACCACCTGCCCAGGTGAATAGGCCATGGCTGTCTCTTCATGGAGGGGTGGCCAAGTGCCAGGTGCTGTCTGCCAGGGCATTGGGATGGTTGGGATCTGCCTGCCCTCCTTGTCCTGGGGGCCGGCTGCCAGGCTCTCCCCCATGACACAGACTCAGGCATGTGCCCTTGGACTTCTGAAGAGGGGCTGGAGAGCTGTGGCAAAAGCCAACTGCTGATGGGATTATCATCCTAGTATGTCAGGTGTTGTGTCCTCCTCTTGCCCAGTTCTGAATTGGGGCTGGGGTAAAACAGCAAGAAAGAGGGCAAGGGGCTCACGTGAGAGAAGGACTCTGGTGGTCCAAGGCTGGTGAGCAATTGCGGGAGGAGCTTACCGAAGTGCCCCTACCACCTGCATCCCTGTGTGTGGACTGCAGTCACGCCACTCCGAGGATGGAGCCGGGGAGAGAACTGTGTGACCCTCCCAGGCACCAAACTGCAGCCATCCTTGGGCCTCAGCAACCTCTGCCCTTCCCATCTCCTTTCTTCCTCTGTCCTGTGTTCCCACGTCCACTCGCAGTCCAGGCCCCCACCACGTGCTCCCCCGTGCACCTGCTCTCCACCCCAACTCCCAGGCTGTCATGTCTCTTCAAGGGGCAACCCACCAGGGCAGGGTTGGGGGCTCAGTCTCAGTGCTTCTTCAGTGGGGTAGTGGTAGGGAGCCAGGAGCCAGGCAGCTTGGGGGGCCGTGGCAATCACAGGTCCAGGATGCCTGGTTGGGCCTTTACTCGCTGACTTTACAGCTGTTTCGGTTTGTACTTGACACAAGGCAGATTCTACTCCAGCTGACTGTGCTCAGCCGACCTTGGACCCTCCCAAGAACCAAGGTTCCCCCACTTCCCCTGTGCAGCAGCCATTTGGGATCCTGTGATGGGGTCCGGACAGCTTTGGTCCCAGCTTTGAATCATACTCGAGCCCTAGAGGGACATCAACTTGCCAACCCAGGCCACTTGGGTCAACAAGAGGTGCAGGGCATCTGGATGGTTCCACGTCACCCCTCCCTGGTGCAGGGCAAGCATCTCCCAGCACATTTCTTGCTGGAACCGGGGCAATGTCATCTTGGGTCCTCTCCGAAGGACAAAGCACTTTCTCATCAGCCACCCCCATGACATTCGGTATGAGTTGAGGATGTGGCCAGAGCTAGATTCCCGGCGAATAATCTGTGCTTTAGACAGGTAGCTAATTTGCTCTTCGGAGTGAAATAGGAGCTTCCGAAAGAGAGAAATCGATTTTAATTGCTTCTCATGAAAGTAATCCTAGTCAATTTAGTACCTTCCTAGAAATTGGGTCTTGGCCTCAAAGCAAACACACTCTCTCAGGAACTGTAAAAAATAAAAGCCCTTTCTCTAGCTATTTATTCAGTGCTTTTCGACCAAATCAAGCTTCTTGAATAAAAGGAGCAAAAACTTTCCCTTTGCTGGAGATATAAATGTCTTCTAAGGGAACGGGAGGAAGCAAGTGATTGAGGACCAGGCTCTGCCGGCCTGAGCTCAGGCAGCCAGGCCACCACCATCCATTTGCATCTGCGTCGGCAGTTTAATTTTACTTTGGAGATCAGGCAGGAAGTGCAGGAAGGCCTCTGAGCCAGCTCAGTTCCCACCTTTTCCCCATTCCTCGGAGGCTGGAATGGTCTCTGCCTTTTAGGGCCGACAGGCCAGACTGCAGCCAGCCCCTCCCTGACCACTCTTCAATCTGGGGGTCCAGTCAGCTGACAGGTTCTACCTGACTCAGGTGTCTTGTGCCTGTGTGGAGCCAGCATTTTTGAACAGACAGGAAAGAGTGTGAAGCATCTCTTGCCTGGAAAATGAAGCCACTCATCCTAATGATCAGGGGGGACTGACTGTTCCCCTCCCCGCCTGCTTCCCAGGGGCTCTGCCTGCCTACCCATGACCGACCTCAATGTTGAGCAGAACCTCAACATTACACTGAGCCCTCAAAGCCAGGACGTACAGTCACAGAGGCCCCAGAATAGCTTTCCTTAGCAAAAGCAAAAGGGGGCAGAGGGGTAATTAAGGTTCCCAGAGCTGGAAGGAGGCTTGAAAGATAAGTTTAAATAAGAGCTTTCCAGCCTTCTCATCAAGGACCCCATCTATTAGCCCCCAATCCCATTAGACCCCATGGTTTGGAAGTTGAGTTTTTTCCTACTACACTAGTAAGTAATCATTTATATTCACTGTTTTTTTAAGTAGTCCCTCTTGTTAGCAAGAGAGCATCAGTGTTCCATTGTGGAGTGAATATAAACCGAGCCAAAAGCAAAGGAACTTACGTATAGCCTTTTCACAGGTTAATAGGCCAGCTCTTCTAATTAATATTTTGAAATATTAATAAGCAGCTCATAGCAGACTCAAACACTACTCTCCAGGGCCCCAGGGAGGCCAGAGTCCAGGTTAGAAATCACTGGAAAGGACAGTTTGCTATTCTCCACATTAGGTCAGAATTCATGTCTTTCTAAGCACACGTGCCCCTTTTACCCTTTGGGACCTCCTCACCTCCTCAGGATCCCAAACTTCTGTCTGCTGCCCACACACACAGTTCTGACATTCCCTGGGGACCCAGAGCTCCAAGGGTGATGAGAAGAAGCTGGGAGGATCTGTTTCCCATTGCAAGCCCTTGACATCAGACGTGTATAATACTCAGATATTCCTGTCATCAGTACTGCACCTCCTGTTTCAACCAAACACTCTGCAAAATGGTTCTCATGCTGCTGTCAGATCAGAGGCCCCTGTTGTGAGCCCATTTTACAGATGGAGAAATGAGAACTACCAAGGTTGAAAGCACTGCACGCACCATCCCAGAGCAAGAAACCTTCGCTCTGGATTCCTGAGCCCTGTTCTCGCCCCTGACCTCCCAGCTCTCCCATGGAGTAAGCTGGTCACAGGCCCCCAGGCACCCCCAATCACCTCTGGCCTCTTGATCTCCCAAGTCCTTCTTGGTTCACCAACTTCCTCCTCTTTTCCCGGGTAGATGATCTGGGAGTGGACCCCGAGTTTGACCCAGCAGATGACCTGGACGGAGGCACGGAAAAGCAGGGAGAGCAGGTTTGCGGCCCCCACTTCGCTCCCTGGCCTTGCTGCTCTGTTTGCCTTGCCCGCCTCCTCCTGCCAGCCCTGCAGACACCCAGCTCTGAGGGTCCAATATGTGGTAGGGACTCCTGGAGTCCGGGAAGCTCCTCCAAGCCCCGGCTTGGTCCAAGCACTGCACACAATACCTTAAGGACAAGACTCACGGCCAGGCTGAAACGTCAGCTGGAACTGCTGGTTCAAATATTTAATACTACCCAAGCCTAAGTTCTTTCTCTGCTGCTCTGGCCTCTCCCCCAAGACTCCCTAGACCTCCCCAACATCCAGCAACTAAGAGGATAGTGCTGGGTCTAGCAGGGGGCTTTCTAGATCCTGTTCCAGAGCTCAGGCTGGTCAAGGGTGGGTAATTAAGCCATCACTTCTGGCCAGGGAGCTTCAGCCTTGAGGTATTAGCCCATCCGTCATGCTGTTGCCTGGGGAAGGCAGGGGGCTGGTGATCTGGCCTGGGTGGGGATATGCTTTTCTGGGGGCAGATCTCCTGCCCACTGCTGCTTGAGCGCCCTTCCCCGAGCTGACCCTGCCAGAGCCTTCTCTTTCGCCGTTGAAAGCAGAGGACGTGGCCTGCTCTGTGAGACAAGACAGTTTTGTTCTGTCTGACAGTCGTTCTAGGCAGAGACCCAGGCTCCCTTTTGTTTCGGGTTATTTCTTGGATGGAGGAACCTGACGCCAGTCAGGAGAGGCCTTGTTCAATGGGGCTTTGTGTTTGCAGACTGTGGCTGTGATGGGGAAAAGCTCATCCTTCTACAAGGGGCTTTCTCTTTGACTTTCTGGCACTGACTTCTGAAGCCAGTGTCCTGGGGGAGGCAGCTGACAGTGGCCCGGGGCCTGGGAATCGGGCCCTTTCTCAGGTGGTCTTGGGCCTGCTTTACAACCCAGGTCAGGCCAGGTAAGTGGAGAGTCAGACAGAGGGTGCGGTTCTGCTGTTGAATTTGCCGAGGCTGCTCTTCATCTCACAAAGCCGCGAGTTCCTTGGGAACCCAACTCCTCCTGGCTGCTGCCCATGGATGCTCTGGTTGAGCTGAACTGCATCTCATTGCTTTGTTCTCTGTGTTCTTATAGCCTTTGGATGGTTTTATCGCTACGATGGCAAATTCCCAACCATCCGGAAGGTAGGCCAGGACTGGGTGCTGTTTGCTGCTGAGTTTGCCGTTGGTTTTGACCTTTTCCAAACATTGTTTCTTCTCCTGTCATCTCTCAACGGTGTGACCGCCTGTTCACTGGGGGGGGCTAACCCTGTCTGTGCCTCTCTGTCAGACTGATGTCAGATGGCAGGGCGCTGTCACAGCGGCATCGTGGGGGAGGTATTCATGGGCTGAGACCTTCCCAGGTACCATCAGGCACTGCTGGGTCGGCACCAGCCCCACTGGGCACGGGACAGGGCAGAGCCATGGCAGGAAACTTCTGCTTTGTTTCTCTGTCAAGTAGAACCAGAGGCCAAGACCAGAAGCCAAGGTCAGACAGTGAAAAATCAAGTTGGGTGCAGGTTATGAGACATGCACACAGAGGATTTTATTTGAAAAAATAATAAAAGGAGATGTACAGGTAAAATCTTTTCCAGGCACTAATAACTAGATAAATGTAAAAGAACTAGTGTCTCCTCCACACACACCTCCCATCAGAAATCATGTCACTCGAAAATCACTCTTGGTGAATAGGAAAGCTTATTTTCCTCTATTCACTAGTCCAGTCATTCCAGAAATAGCTGGTATTTTGGTTTTCATTTCATTTCCAAAAGAGAGAAAAATTGCATCTAGGTAGAAGCAAGAGCACATCCACCCCATCTGCCTCTCCTCTCAGTCTGGGCCAGAAGGAATATCTGCCATGAATTTAACTGACAGCTAAAGGACAACAGAATCATGTCCCTCATGCTGGCTCTGAAAATCTATTGACATTTTTTCTAGAGTCATGTGAGATGCTTTGTCTCCCAGCAGCTGGAGCAAAGTCCCCAGGTAATACAAGTGGCCCTCTTTGGCCGTGATCAGCAATGCACAAAATTCCCCTTATTTGAAAAGATAACTATTCAGTGTCTTCTTGAGCCCTCTGGGTCTCAAGGCGCCCAGGCCTGTGACCTCACAAAGTCTATTCCAGCGCCTGAAGGATTCATGTTTCTGACTGAATCCTTTCCCCAGGACGGCTTGAGTAAATCACGGAGACCAACCCTACTTGTAGGAGGCCGCCATCTGGCAGGGCAGGCAGATTCACACACAGCTAAGTAACATGTATGGAGAAGGCTAGTGTGTGATCAGTAGGCGATGCTATGGGGCAGCTTGCCTTTCTGCATCAGTAGGCAGGTACTTTTCTCTTGGAGATGGGACAGAAACTGTCATGTCTGCCTGCCCCACCCAGGAGCCCTAGCTCTAAAATCTTAACACTGGTGGTTTTTTTTAAACTAGTAGAGTGGCCATGCCTATTATGATGCTCCCTGTGAGAGGCCATGCCCTTAGTCTAGCAAGCTGCCATTGGGTAGAATGTTTCTGGCTCCTCTTGGGGAATTGTCTGAATTGATAATATGATAGTAGGGATTCATCTATCAACTGAGCTGAGAGTCTAGTGAACAGGGTAGGAAGGAATCAAGCAGAACTCTGAAGTAGTGAAAAACATTTTCTCAAGTGGCTCACAGACTGCTCTGGGGGTGAGTCCCCATATCCTAGATGGGGAACCATCTCCAAAGCACCTGTGCACAGAGGTGGGGGTAGTCTTTAGGAGGGGAGGCAGAATGACTCGGTCACATGTCCATAATGACCCGTCATGCCCCTCCAGCTGTGGACAAAGTTGTGTGTCCATTGCTGGGAAACTCAATTCCTCCTTCCTGGCCTTGGATGCTGGGATGATTTAGGAATTCTGAGAGTAGGCCCCAGGAAGCCTTGTGGGTTTGGGGGTGAGCTCAATGAACGTGCAGGCTTCCTCCTTCCCCAGAGTGTTGACTCTCTCTGCTGGCCCCTGTCCTCCATGCTGTGTGATGGGGTCTGACGCTCCCTCCTACCATGCTCCATTGCCCCCAGCTCATCAGAGCACCGTGGGGAAACTCACGTCCAAACTCTGGCGCCACCACTTACTAGATGTTTGACGTCCAGCAAGGGACTTCACCTTTCTGAACCTCGGCTCTTTCATCAGAAGGGGGATAATATGTATTTATAAGATAATCAACTTTTAATCCCTTGGCACATAGGTAGTCCATAAATCTTAATTTTCTTCATTCCTTACTCCCTGGCTTCCCTGCAAGCCCATGGGAGAAGCAACCAGGAAGGCAGACGTTGTGGTCTAATTCAAACAGGAAAAAGAAGTCTGTTTGCCCTGCATCTCCTTCCCCCAGTCCTCTTCAACCCTGACGGCCAGTGAAGAGCAGTTAGGCCATCCTCCCTACCTTCTCCTGCCCACCATCTCCCAGTCCTGTAGTTTCTGTCTGGTCCTCAGTTCGGGAGCCTAGTTCAGAGGGAACAGTGGATTTGGACTCTCCAGGATGAAATGGTCTGGAGTTTAAGCATCAGGACAAAATCTGATGTCCCTGGCTCTGGGCTCCCAGGTCGGAGGCTGACACCCTTCTCCTCTAGCTCAGGACAGGGGATCTGTCCCAGATTTTCTCTAGAATCTACCAAGATGCACCTGTGATGTCTGAACATCCAGTTGTTGGAGAAGGCATATGCCCAGATACTAAGAAATAAATACAATGCTTTTTAAAATACAGCGCTTTGAAGCTCACGAAGCTCTTTCATAGATGTTATTTCATTGGCTCTGAATGGCAAACCTGTGGGGTAGGTATTTCCCCCATTTTGGAGATGAGATAAACCAGGCCCAGAGAGGTTAAGGAACTTAACCAAGGTCACACAGCTTGTTAGTGAACTAGTAAGCCAGTTCTTCTGGCTGGCACAGGGAAATGTGTCTCACTCTGTGATGGGTAGCAGCGTCCTGCCTGTCCTTAACCTTAAGTCCAATGCCCAGTGTGGTGGGGCAGAGCTAGGGGAGGGGCTCACTGTGGGGTGGTTGCCTGCTGTTGTCTGAAGACTGAATGCCCTGTTTGCTGTGCTGTGCCAGTGTCAACACTACCTTGTAACCCTTGTCTTATAAACAATGCCACATCTGCTCAGAAAGGAAAGGATAAGAAGAAAGCCAAGTATGATAGCCTTCAGGAGTTGAGAAAGAATAAGAAGGAACTGGAATTTGAGCAAAAGCTTTACAAAGAGAAAGAGGAAATGCTAGAGAAGGAAAAGCAACTGAAGATCAACCGGCTGGCCCAGGAGGTATGTGTACTGCTCCCAGGCCTGGTGAGCTTTCCTGGGGCAGTTTGGTTGGTCCCCACCACGCTCTCAGGGAACCAGATGGAGTTGCTCTTCCCAAATGCAGTCCAAGGATGGAGTGAGCCTGGCCTCCTCCCCAGGCTGGAGAGTGACATCTTCCTACCTACCCAGAGTCATCTGAGACTAGCCTCTGGTTTAGTGTATGTTTGGGATCGAGACGGGCCCGCTTGCTCAGGGGCTTGCCTCTCTGCCCAGATTGTAGGTCTCGGGTTAGCCTCTACACATGTGGCTAGAGATTTGAGTCTGTCCTCTACTCCCACCACCCCCAACCAGAGTATGAGCCCAAGGCTAGTCCGCTCCACCCTCCGTGTGGCTGTGAGGCTGCCCTCCCTGCTCAGGGTTTGAGTCGGAGGCTAACCCTCTGTTCAGCTGTAGATCTGAAGTTAGCCTTCTACCCACCTGTCATTAGATCTGTGTCAGTTTGACAGACAACCCTCTCCCCAACCCAGGTTATGAATCTAAGACCCGTTTTCCCCAATCTGCCTTGTGTCTGAGGGTATGGGTCTGAAGCTAACCCATTTAGGCAGGTGGGGGGTCTGAGGTTATCCCCCAATTAATCAGGCTGTGAGTTTGAGGCTGCTCCCATCAACATGAGATGTGTCTGAAATCTCTAGACCTCTTCAACCCAGGAATATATCTAAGGCTGTCCCCTTCAAGACATGTCAAAAGTAGTCTTCCAGCATAAGTAATTGCTATTTGCTAGGTAACTCCCTAGCTGTTGGAGATATTAACTGGTTTCGCTTCTCTTTAATGCTTCCATGAATCAGAATGCCAAACTGATTAGATTACAAATCCAGAGAAGTCCTGAAAAATGTGAAGTGCATTAGATCTCTCATTAGGAGTAAATTAGCTAAAAGATTAAAGATAAAATTGAGCTTGTGCTCCTGAGGACAAGGTGGCCTGGAGGAGAGATGAAAAAGAGTACAGTTGAACTCTTGGGAGGTGCTGAGAGCCTATAAAAGGACCATACTTGGAGAATCATAAGAGCCTCAGGGTTGGTGGGGATCCTAGGGGCCAGCTAATCCCACGCAATGCACGAGCTCCTTCTCGGATTTTGTCTACACCTGCCGTTAGCTAGCCCAACACCCTAACACCCCCTCCCCCTTATCTCCACCTCCTCTGGGGCCAGGTGGAACAAGCCTGGGGCTTTTTCTAGGTAATTGACACACCCAACAATTCTCTGGGTTTTTTTAAGAAGTGCTTCTGTTCTACTGATTTGAGTGTGCCGCCCACATGTGACTCAAGTGTGCCCTCTGTCCTCTCCATTTTGCGCCGGTCTTGGGTCCCAGGTATCGGAGACAGAGCGGGAAGACCTTGAGGAATCGGAAAAGATTCAATATTGGGTGGAAAGGCTCTGTCAGACGCGCCTTGAGCAGATTTCCTCTGCTGATACTGAGATTTCAGAGGTAACAGAGCCCTTCTTTCCACATAGACCCACCCTGGGGACAGCGGGAGGCAAGATGGCCACTGGCAAGCTTCACTGTCCAGGGCCGCCAACCAGCCCACTCCCTCTTCCTCTCTTGAGGAGGGGGGCATATCTGTATTTCTGGGATTATCTCCAGAGTGACCACTAAGTCCCAGCTCATCTGAGATGATCCCGGTTAGGCCTGTTGTCCTGGCATAACTACTCAGATGTCCTTTTCACTGTCAAGTGTGTTCCAGTTTAGATGACTATTGGTCATCTAATTGGTCATCTAATGGATTATATGGTCGCCTTCTTACCACCCACATAACTTGGGGCTCCCCTGCATTTGGGCACTCCCTACTGGCCACCTCGTATGGGATCAGCTGGGCACCCAGGTGGCAGAGAAGTGACACCCCCATGGTTCTGGTTTGAGGGTGGTGGGTCTTCAGCAGCAAGAGAAATAAATAGATAAGCATTATACTCGATGTATTGTGAAGTGGGGCACTAAGCAGTTACAGAACTTCCTTGCAACCCCCCAGATGACCACAGGGCTCCCGCCTTCCCTGCCTTCTGTGTCTCCCCTGGCCCCACCCCTGAGACGCTTCGCAGGTGGGCTGCACCTCCACACCACTGACCTGGATGACATCCCCTTGGACATGTTCCACTATCCCCCCAAGACTGCTTCTGCCTTGCCTGTGATGCCCCACCCTCCACCCTGCAACCCACCCCCCAAGGTCCCCGCGCCCCCTGTCCTTCCCTCATCAGGCCACGTGAGTGCCTCATCCTCACCCTGGGTGCAACGCACTCCACCCCCCATTCCCATCCCTCCCCCACCATCCATTCCTACGCAAGACCTCACTCCTACCCGCCCACTGCCCTCGGCACTGGAAGAGGCACTAGGCAACCACCCCTTCCGTGCTGGGGAGACAGGCAATCCAGCAGCAGAGGACTGGGAGGCAAAGAACCACAGTGGGAAGCCGGCCAGCTCTCCCGTCCCTGAACGGAGCTTCCCACCCACCCCAAAGGTACTACCTCTGTTCTGCATGCTATGCTGGGAAGCAGGAAGAGTGGGCCGGGCTGCTGTTTCCCAAGTCCTCCTCTGTTCCTGTGAGTGGAGACGGGAAGAAGCATCCCCCCACCCCATTTTCCAAGAACAAGCTTCCCAGCCTGTATGTTGTGGATGTCCTGCATGTGTGTGGTTTCTGCTGATTTTGAAGTGCTGTATTGTATGGTGAATTGCCTGTGATACTTGGGATGAGCAACATTGTATCAGTGTTGATTGCTCTCTCTTTGTTCCACTTGGCTAGTATGGGCTGGTAACATTCAATGTAGTATTTGCAAGGCTGTGTTAATGAAGAGCCAGAGCTCTATTTCTATGACAGCCAGTTGTTTCTTGATATTAGCTCAGAAAGCCTTGAATATGGGAAATTAATTCTCTGTTTAACAGGGGAAAGGGGGGATGGGAAGCAGAGGAGCAGTATTAGGCTCTGTAAATGAGGGGATAACACTGTCCAGTAATTAGGGCATCACTGTGCCATTTTCTATGGCACTAGCCAACTGCGTTAGCTTGAAGCACAATGCCCATAAATTTGTGGCCAGCTTCCAGCTACAGAAAAAATGAAAATGGATAGTTCCTAGAAAGCTCCAAATTTACTACTAAAAGATTAGGGATCTTTTTCTTGGATGTCAGCAGGGAGAACAGTGATCATTCTCAAAAAGACGTGTTTCTCATTAATTGTTCTTAACCCAAAGGCTAAGAGGCGATCCCCAAGGAAGAGATGGAGCTTTGATCCTTTGGAGGGAAAAACAAAATATTTCTCTGCTCCAGTAGCTGTGAGGCTAAGACTCCAGTCAGAACTACAGCAGCGCATGTCAGCTAAGGGTGGGGATTTGGGGGGAGGGTAGTCAGTGGTTCCCGATCAGTTGTTTTTATTAACCTTTCCTGCATGGATTTGAGTTCCTGCATGAAGTACAGAATAAGCATCTCAGGGCATTCAGGGGCGCTTGGGGGAAGGAATGTGGGAATGAAGAAAGTGCCAGGTGCTGACAAGGCTGCAGCTACCAGCAGGGCACTCTCAGAGGGACTCCCGGTGGGGTCCTGAGCCCCGAGCCCTGGCGGAGAGAAGTCTGTCTGTTCCAAGGATGTCTGGCCCCAGAGCCCAGGCAGTGCAGTTTGCAGGGGCTGCGTTAGCCTGGCAAAGAGGCCCACATCCTTCTTGTGAGTGGCCCCCACCAAGAGGGGCAGCAGCTTTCCCTCAACAAATTCAACTCAGTAATCAATTGGGCACCTTCCGTGTGCTTCCGTGTGTGGGAGTGGGGAGCTGTGCTGAAGCGGACACAGAGGCAATTGGCACACCTGTGCTCTCCAGGACTTTGCTCTCTGAAGGATTAGTGGCTGACCAGGCAGGATTCAGCTATAAAATTGGCACGGGCTAGGTGCTGTGGGAGGGATTCATTCTAATGGGAAGTTGAAGGCGCCTCTGTAGAGCTGAGCCTTGAGGGATGGTGATACATGGAGGATGGGAGAAGGGCATTGCAGGTGCAGGGGACATAACGATGACAGGAAGGAACTACCCAGGTTTGAATCCTGGCTCAGTCACTGGCTAGATGACTTTAGGCATGCATTATTTCATCTATCCGAACCTAGGTATCCTTGTCCGTAAAATGGGAATGCTGACGGCACCTACTTATGACATGGATCAAATGAGTTAATACATGAATTCATTCTAAGTTAATACTTGGGAGAGTGGCAGGCACATAGGAGGTGCTCAATAGACATTACCTACGCTCAGTGACAGATCAGGGTACAAGACAATTTGGGTGAAGCTGCAAACGTGAAGTCGGAGGTAAACTGCAACCTTTTGAGTCAGGGTCAAGATTCAAAAACAGGGTCCAACTTTCTTGGATTTCCCCAGGCATCACAAAGTTCCCACTGTTAGTTCCTGATCAGAGCAGAGAGAAGGTTAAAAGAGACTCTCCCCACACAAGGAGCCTCTGAAGAACTGGACCCTAAATCTCTTAAGTGACATCAAAGCCAGTGTTGTCCCTGATGCGGGGGCTAGGGGTCAGCTGTTTTGGTTGGCTTCATCCTGCTCGCGTCAGCACTTTGGCCCGTGCACCGCTGACCCTGCCCAACCTTCTCCTCCCTGCATGCTACTGGCGAGTGGTCATCAGTGCTGCAGTAGGATGTGTGGACCATCACACATCTGCACAGTCAGCCCCGCTGCCAGCAGGTCTCAGGTGGTGGAAACAAACACCTGTGTCAGGTCGGCACCTGTGCCTGCCACACAGGCACCTGCCAGGGGAAGGTTTTGAGAGCCACGTGTACTCCCAGGCACTGCCCCATACACCCACCATAATACTGAGTCATTCGTTTACTCAGGTATCATGTTTAATGAGCACCTACTATATGCCAGACACCGTGCTGGGCACTAGAGAACCACCACAAAATAGGCAGCCCAGTCCCTGTCTGAGACTGTCTGGTGGAAGGACAGACAAGTAAGCAGGAAACTCCCACACTACCAGGGCAGATGAGGGAAGCACAGGTGCTATGTTGAGGGGAGCGGGTGGAGAGGAAAAGCTCAAGGAATGGTCCCCAAAGGTGGTGATACCCAAGCTAACACCTGGGCAGGTAAAAAACCCTCAAGGCAAGAAAACCGGGCATTTTGGAGGCTTAAGTTAGGCAGTGTGAGAAGGGCGAGGAGTGAGGGATGAGGCTGCCAAGGAAAGTAGGGAAGCCCATGGGGGTCAAGCCAAGGAGTTTAGCGGTCAGTGGGGACCCATGAAGGGTTTGGGGCAGGGCTGTGACCCGATTTGTCTTGCCCAAGATGATCAAGTGGGTTAGAGCAAAGCAGACGTGTTGCATCAGCTCTCCTGGATGCCGCGCTTACTGGTCCTCCCTCCCAAACCCCCACCTCTGTGCCCACCCACCAGGGACAGCAGATGCTGCATGCGCAGTCTGGGAACTGCAACTGTCTCCTTTGGGAGAGAGGAAGCTGGATGGCACCCGTGGCCACTGAGAGAGAGCCTTGAAAGTATCCTCTGACTGACAGTGCCCGCTGGCGCCCCCATAGCAGGCTCTGGCTCAAGTCCCTGATTCCTCAGAACCACCCAAAAGTTTCTGTGGTCTCAGGACACACTGTGGCCAATGGACTTCTTGTCCCCGTCCCTAGGACATCCGGCAGGGTGAACGGACCAGGCTGGCTCAGTGCATGGTGTGAATTTGCCTGTGTGTCAAAGTGCTGTGGTTGGCCTGGGCCACCCGGGCCATGACCTCACAGGGTCTCTCTTTAAACTAACCCCATAGACATTTTGCCCAAGCCCACAGCCTCCACGAGGCCCTGGCGTGTCCACCATCTCCAAACCTGTCATGGTCCACCAGGAGCCCAACTTCATCTACAGGCCAGCTGTGAAATCCGAGGTCCTGGTAAGCCCCTTGGGTCCCCTCCAGGGCATCTCCGGAGGAGCAGACGTGCACTGTCTCCCCTAGCTGCTACTGCCTCTAGAGCGAGGTGGGATACAAACTCACATGAGATGCCATCTTGTCACCTTCTCATTAGCCAAGAGGTGAATCCACATAGGTATAAGTGGATGTTGCCACAGCCAGAGAAATGCCTGTTTCTCACTTGACCAAACAGCTTAGAGCGCCATCTAGAAGTAATAATATGGTTCCTATTGTTAGCCCTGTTTAACACTTGAGGAAACTGAGCTTAGAGAGGTTAAGTAGGTTGTCCAAGGCAGAGCCAGGACTGACAATTTACTCCAGTCTTTCAGACTCCGAAGCCCAAACTCCTACGTACTTGCCATTTTGTCAAAACCTACAGGGATTCCAGTTGCCCTGGCCTGCGCCCCTAAGGCCTGTCGTGGATCACCCTCAGATGGGGAACTGGCCAAAGCAGATCCACTTCCCTTCTCCACTTCCTGTCTCACTCCTCACTAAGGCTGGGAATGTGGGGTGTGGCCCTGAGCGGGGGGGGGGGGGGGGGGTCTGCCCACCCCTAGTCACCCACGGCTGAGCAAGCTGGGACTCAGGTGCACCCCCTGCAAGGGTACCGGCCCCTGACAGGCCTCCCACCCACAGTGGGAGGAGTCATGCCAGAGTTTATATTCCCCTTTCAAGGAAACCCTATCCAAGTGTTAGGGTGGAGTAGCTCAGATACTTCTTTTGAGCTTTAACTCTCCAAAAATCAAAGTTCACGCTCCTGGGACAGCCTACTGATGCCTCCGCAATGTGTTTTCAGGCTGATGACAAGGGGTGGTGTCTTCCTGACTAGGACTAGGTAGCTGATGCATCTGGGGGCGTTGAGGGGCCCCTCACATAAATCAGGCTGTGTCTGTCTGGGGAGGGATGTTGGCCAAGCAACCCCAGGCTGGCAGGCCCAGGGTTTGGCACCAGGGGGCAGAAGAGACCTATTTGTAACATCCAGCGTGGAACTTTTTTTTTTTTTCTGGCAGCCACAGGAGATGTTGAAGAGGATGGTGGTTTATCAGACAGCGTTCCGACAAGTAAAATACCCGTCGTGTGTCTGTGGTCCTCCCCACCACCCTCTGCCCCTCCCACTCTGACCTCTCTGGGAGTGCCTGTCAGCTTGGAGGTGGCCCCAAGCGCCATCTTCCAGGAGCCTCAGGCCAAAACTGTGTCCTGTTACCTGTGGCCAGGGGTTTGGGGGGTGTGTGTGTGTGTCTCATATCAGGTGGGGATCCTGGGCTTGTGAGACCCCATGGCCAAGCTGAGAAAGCAGCATGGTCCCTGGGGGCTGGCCTCTTTTGCTGCTGTTTGTTCATAGAGGAGCAGCAGAGGGACCCCTCAGAGGGTCACAGAGGCCAAGATAGGTGGTTGCTGCAGCTCTAGGAGAGAAAAAGGGGCTGCCTGAGGTGTTTCCCTGCCCCTTCCCATGTCTTGCCTCCTCAAGGCAGATCATAGCTTCACCAAACCCCACTTGGCCCCAAACCACCATCAGGGAGGAAGTGGTGGCCCAGGTCCTCCATCTGCAGGGGGCGCTCCTGTGCACAGGGCCCCACAGAAGTCCTTGCAGGTCCATGAGTGGACTCAGGCAGGCAGCCACTTATCCTCCCACCTCCTGGGGCTTACATCCTCAGAGCCAGCCATTGGATTGGCTGTCTCACTGCTGATGAAAGAGACCCGAAGATGGAGATCTTGCAGCCAACATCCTCACCAATAACCGAATATCTGACTACAGGCTGATTTGACTGCAGTCAGGGAACAAAGGGGAGGTGTCAGCTGTACAGTGAGATAGGAGGGTCTGCAAAGGAAGCTGCCCCCAACGAGGACTGAGCAGTGACAGGTGACAGCTGACACTTAGCTGTGGTATGCCAAGCACTGTTGCTTTTTTTTTTTAAGTGTTTCTTTTATTTTTGAATCTAAAATTTCAAACTAATTTTTAAATTTAATTTACTTATTTTTTTTAATTTTTGAATTTTATTTTATTTATTTTTTTATACAGCAGGTTCCTATTAGTCATCAATTTTATACACATCAGTATATACATGTCAATCCCAATCACCCAATTCAGCACACCACCATCCCCACCCCCCTGTGGCTTTCCCCCCTTGGTGTCCATACATTTGTTCTCTACATCTGTGTCTCAACTTGTGCCCTGCAAACTGCTTCATCTGTACCATTTTTCCACATACATGTGTTAGTATACAATATTTGTTTTTCTCTTTCTGACTTACTTCACTCTGTATGACAGTCTCTAGATCCATCCACATTTCAACAAATGACTCAATTTCGTTTCTTTTTATGGCTGAGTAATATTCCATTGTATATACGTACCACAACTTCTTTATCCATTCCTCTGTTGATGGGCATTTAGATTGCTTCCATGACCTGGCTATTGTAAATAGTGCTGCAGTGAACATTGGGGTGCATGTGTCTTTTTGAATTATGGTTTTCTCTGGGTATATGACCAGTAGTGGGATTGCTGGATCACATGGTAATTCTATTTTTAGTTTTTTAAGGAACCTCCATACTGTTCTCCATAGGGGCTGTATTAATTTACATTCCCACCAACAGTGCAAGAGGGTTCCCTTTTCTCCATATCCTCTCCAGCATTTGTTGTTTGTAGATTTTCTGATGATGCCCATTCTAACTGGTGTGAGGTGATACCTCATTGTCGTTTTGATTTGCATTTCTCTAATAATTAGTGATGTTGAGCAGCTTTTCATGTGCTTTTTGGCCATCTGTATATCTTCTTTGGAGAAATGTCTATTTAGGTCTTCTGCCCATTTTTGGATTGGGTTGTTTGTTTCTTTAATATTGAGCTGCATGAGCTGTTTATATATTTTGGAGATTAATCCTTTGTCTGTTGATTCGCTTGCAAATATTTTCTCCCATTCTGAGGGTTGTCTTTTCATCTTGTTTATGGTTTCCTTGGCTGTGCAAAAGCTTTTAAGTTTCATTAGGTCCCATTTGTTTATTTTTGGTTTTATTTCCATTACTCTAGGAGGTGGATCAAAAAAGATCTTGCTGTGATTCATGTCAAAGGGTGTTCTTCCAATGTTTTCCTCTAAAAGTTTTATAGTGTCTGGTCTTACATTTAGGTCCTTAATCCATTCTGAGTTTATTTTTTTGTATGGTGTTAGGGAATGTTCTAATTTCATTCTTTTACATGTAGCTATCCAGTTTTCCCAGCACCACTTATTAAGAGACTGTCTTTTCTCCATTGTATATCCTTGCCTCCTGTGTCATAGATTAGTTGACCACAGGTGCGTGGGTTTATCTCTGGGCTTTCTATCTTTTTCCATTGATCTATGTTTCTGTTTTTGCACCAGTACCATATTGTCTTGATTACTGTAGCTTTGTAGTATCGTCTGAAGTCAGGGAGTCTGATTCCTACAGCTCAGTATTTTTCCCTCAAGACTGCTTTGGCTATTCGGGGTCTTCTGTGTCTTCATACAAATTTTAAGATTTTTTGTTCTAGTTCTGTAAAAAATGCCATTGGTAATTTGATAAGGATTGCATTGAATCTGTAGATTGCTTTGGATCATATAGTCATTTTCACAATATTGATTCTTCCAATCCAAGAACATGGTGTATCTCTCCATCTGCTGGTATCATCTTTACTTTCATCAGTGTCTTATAGTTTTCTGCATGCAGGTCTTTTGTCTCCCTAGGTAGGTTTCTTCCTAGGTATTTTATTCTTTGTGTTGCAATGGTAAATGGGAGTGTTTCCTTAATTTCTCTTTCAGATTTTTCATCATTAGTGTACAGGAATGCAAGAGATTTCTGTGCATTCATTTTGTATCCTGCAACTTTACCAAATTCATTGATTAGCTCTAGTAGTTTTCTGGTGGCATTTTTAGGATTCTCTATGTATAGTATCATGTCATCTGCAAACAGTGACAGTTTTACTTCTTCTTTTCCAATTTGTATTTCTTTTATTTCTTTTTCTTCTCTGATTGCCATGGCTAGGACTTCCAAAACTATGTTGAATAATAGTGGTGAGAGTGGACGTCCTTCTCTTGTTCCTGATCTTAGAGGACATGCTTTCAGTTTTTCACCATTGAGAATGATGTTTGCTGTGGGTTTGTCATATATGGCCTTTATTATGTTGAGGTAGTTTCCCTCTATGCCCACTTTCTGGAGAGTTTTTATCATAAATGGGTGTTGAATTTTGTCAAAAGCTTTTTCTGCATCTATTGAGATGATCATATGGTTTTCATTCTTCAATTTGTTAATATGTTTTATCACATTGATTGATTTGTGTATATTGAAGAATCCTTGCATCCCTGGGATAAACTCCACTTGATCACGGTGTATGATCCTTTTAACGTGTTGTTGGATTCTGTTTGCTAGTTTTTTGTTGAGGATTTTTGCATCTATATTCATCAGTGATACTGGTCTGTAATTTTCTTTTTTTATAATATCTTTGTCTGGTTGTGGTTGTCGGGGTGATGGTGGCCTCATAGAATGAGTTTGGGAGTGTTCCTTCCTCTGCAGTTTTTTGGAAGAGTTTGAGAAGGATGGGTGTTAGCTCTTCTCTAAATGTTTGATAGAATTCACCTGTGAAGCCATCTGGTCCTGGACTTTTGTTTGTTGGAAGATTTTTAATCACAGTTTCAATTTCATTACTTGTGATTGGTCTGTTCATGTTTTCAATTTCTTCCTGGCTCAGTCTTGGACGGTTATACTTTTCTAAGAATTTGTCCATTTCTTCCAGGTTGTCCATTTTGTTGGCATAGAGTTGCTTGTAGTAGTCTCTTAGGATGCTTTGTATTTCTGCGGTGTCTGTTGTAACTTCTCCTTTTTCATTTCTAATTTTATTGATTCGAGTCCTCTCCCTCTTTTTCTTGATGAGCCTGGCTAATGGTTTATCAATTTTGTT